AATACTTAAAGGTCAAATGTAGCTACTTTAGACACAAGGGTGGGTATTCTAAAATAACTTTAGCAAAAGCAAAAAGGCTCAGATATGACTGAGTTGTCCTGTGCTCTCTGAGTTCTGGCTGCCAGGGAACTGGGTAAGGGATCCTAATAACCAGGACAATCCATGTGAGTGAAGAAAGTGCTCATAAACCCTGCTGTATATAACTCACTGTGGATTGTCAAAATAAACAACCTTTAACCATTCTTACTGAAACATTCCAAATGAATTCTGGGGCCAGAGTGAAAAATGCACTTGATGTGCACACAATTATCTCAAAAGCAGGACTTCTCTTCTGGGGAACTACTCCAACACCTCAATACAGAAATCTTCAGAGGCTCAGGGCAGAACACTTAGATCAGTGTTTGGCAGATGCTACAGGAAGGAAGTAATTAAAACTGTTAGGCAAGAGCTTTTGGATTTGGATAACAGAAGCAGAACTTTGAGGTGGGATGGATGAGAAAGATGAATGAAAAACAAAAGAAAATTATTGGTGACCAGCAAGAGGCCAATTTTACTGAGAACTTACAATTCTTTTTTTAAACAAAAGATTCATTTATTTATATGTACAAGAGCTGGGGTGTAGCTCCCTGGCTGGGGATTGAACTCATACTACAGTGACTGCCTATAGCTTCATAATGCTGGGACTTAACCCCTTGCACCACCAGGGAGGCCCTGAGAACTTGCAATTCTTGCAATTCCTGCCTAACTAGGATTTTGTTGTTGCTGTTAACCTCATGTTCTCTGACAATGGCCCTTTCCTACCAATTATAGTATTTCAAAGCAGCTTTGAAAATATAAAAATTTCCGGGCCTCCCCGGTGGCGCAGCAATTGAGAGCTGGGTTGCGAAGCTGCCCGCAGCCTCTGCAGCGCCGGTTCTATCCCTGGCTGCCAGGTGAGGGTCCCACATGGCGCGAAGACCTCTCCTGCCACCCGCTGCTCCCCTCAGCAGTGTACTTCGGTCCTTCTGCCTGTTCTGCTCCCCGCTCTGGCTCTGGTGAATTCTCTCACCCTCCCGCGCCTCTGACTGTACCCAGTGCTTGTATAAATAAATAAATAAATCTTAAAAAAAGAAAATATAAAAATTTTCTTAGATTTGAGTAGGGGAATTCAAAATCACTCAAATCATAAAGAATTTAAACTGATATTACTGGGATAAAAATTAGTTTAATGAAGACCAAATTTTGCTAAGGTAGAAAGAAATTGGGTTTGATGTCTTCATAGTCAAGCCTGCCACCTCATCTGAATGGAGTTAAAAGTATTCAAAATTTGACCCCAGTTTATTTACCTTAAGTTCCATGAAGTACCCTTATCGATCCCCAAGAAAAACCAATTACTTCTGCTTCCTAAGGCAGATAGTGAAGTTGAAAAAAAGAGGCCTGGGGCCTCCCAGGTGGTGCAAGGGGTTAAGATGCAACCTACGAAGCTACGAGTTCAATACCTGGCCAGGGAGCTATCCACATGGCGCAGCAGACCTCTCCTGTCTCGCCCACTGCTTCTGCAGCAGTGTGTTTCAGTCATCTGCCCATTCTGTTCCCTGCTCTGTCTCTGGTGAATCCTCTCACCAGCCCCCCCCCCACCTCTGGCCTACACCCCAGTTCCTCTATGCATAAATAAATAAATTTTACAAAAAGAGGCATGGGTGTGCTTTGAAGCTAATTTACTAGTTGTGTCACCATGGGTATGTTATTAAACCTATTTGGAATTCAGTTTTCTCACGGGTAAAATGGGGCTCCTACCACCCATTTCTAGGGCTCCTAGATGTAAAGTGCTGTGCGCAGTACCCTGCCAACATGCATTCTCTTCTCTTTCCTTCTAGTTTGTTAGGCCTCTCAGAATCACTTTGACTCACTGTTTCCTCCCTTTTCTAATTCACATCTATATTGCACATCTATATTGCATGAACTTTCAGCTTGCTATAGAATCCCTCATGATTTTCCAGAGACCTTAATTACCTTGTGGCTAATATACTTCTTGTGTGACCTCACATGCCACCAGAAACACAATAGCAGCCCTAAATATTTGTTGAATGAACTGTACTGTTTAAGAAAAATACAGAACATTAAAAATCAAGTGGAAGAAATGGTAAAACTTACACCTATATCCAGGCATTCTTACCCACTCAATTTATTGGTTGCCTGACAATCATTTTAAGCAGTACTTTTAACTCTCCCTCAGTTCAATGGTTGGCTGACATCTGTGGTAGCCAGCTTCCAATATGGCTTCCAATGAGCATGACTTCCAAATATTTACCCCCTCTCCCCCACGCATTGAGTCTATTGACGAAGTGTGACCAATAAAATACTGCAGAAGTCACAATGCTGACTTCACAGATTAGACTGAAAAAGGCATTGCAGCTATGGCCTTTTTCTTGAGTCACTTGCTCAGTGTGGAGCCAGTCACTGTGCAGTGAGAACAGATGGCTGTGTGATCTTTGGTAAGTTATGTGACCTTTCTGAGCGTCAGTTTTCCTCATTTTTTTTAAAAAAGACTTTATTTACTTATCTATTTATTTATTTATTTATGAATACAAGAACTGGGGTGTAGACCAGAGGTGCAGGGGTTGAGAGGATTCACCAGAGACAGAGTAGGGAGCAGAACAGGCAGACTGACTGAAATACACTGCTGAGGGGAGCAGTGGGCATGTGGGCTGTGCCATGTGGATTAACTGCCTGGCTGGGGATGGAACTCAGGCCTCAGTGGATGGCCATAGCCTGACAGCACTGACTTTAACCCCTGAAACACCAGGGAGGTCCCAGTTTTCCTCACTTTTGAAATGAAGATATTTATTTCACAGGGTATTGCTTAGATTAAATAAGACACACATGTAAAGCACACAGTAGCATGCCTGGCATATAAAGCTTACATTAAACGTGGCTAATACATGTTAGAAACTTGGTGTTAGAAACTTCAGTAACAGTATTGATGGAAAGTGAGATGTGAAGGAGAAATCAAGGATGATTCCTAGGTTTTTGGCTTGTAGGGAAGGAAAAATAATTTTCCTTCTACCCTTCTAAGTCCTTAGTTAAGATAGTTCCTGTAAGAAAAAATAGTTTAATAATGTGCATACTTCCTGAGTAATCCCCCCAAAAGGTCTGAGCAATCTCCTTAAATGCCATCTTCCTCTGAAGACAAAGGATGTTGGGGTTGGGGGGGGGCAGGGAAGACCAGTTAGGGGCACTAACCCGGAAAGACACAGTAAACAAGGGTATGGTTGTTATGCAGATTTAAGTTGCTGCCTTCTCCATAGGTAGGTGGTGAAGAGATGAGTCATCCCTGCTTCCCAGAATGCAGCTGTGGGAGACACCTTTACAAATGGAGATTTCCCTTATAATGTAAATGTCTCTCACAAATGGGAAACTTCTACTCAGTTTTCAGAGTTTTTTTAATAAGTCTTCTGTTTCCGGAAAATAACCAGCTCAGAATAATTGTTATGCTAACAAGACGTATTTTGGGGTGGCAAATTTTGCTCTCCCACAGACTTGAATAACTGAAAGAGCGAGGGTATTCTTTACTGAGGTTGTGGACAGTGGAGAAAAAGTTGTGGAGAGCAATAGCATTCCTTTTTTTTTGGACCAAAGGTGCAAAGATTTTTTAAACATATTAAAACAACCTTTGAATTCCCTATAAATAGTATTGCACTTCCATTCTTTCCTCTCTACTTCAAACTTTATTTTTGTTCTAAGCATTTGCTTCCCGGAACATGGATAATTGCTGAAGTAGAAGTTAAAGTAATTCCAGAAACTTAAAAAATTTCGCAATTACCATATAGCCTTGGATGCATCATTGTTCTCAGAGAAATGATGGTGTGCGGTCAGCCCCCTAAAAAGGGTCAGATAGGCATTTCTCAGTAGGCGGAGAGTAGATTTTTCTGTCACCTTGGTGTGGGAACTAGGGGTCAATCAAAGCTAATCAAGTTTATTACCGTTACTTGAAGAATGCAGATTGCTTTGAGTTGAGAGCTATGAGGACACTAAAGACTAGGAGAAATTCTGTTCTTGTCCAAGCCCTCTGTTCCCCTAATTATGAAGAGGTCAATTACGTCTTAAGCTTCTGCCCACTTCCCAATCAAAAAGCAATCACTGCCTCCCCTCTCGTAATATAGAAAATAATGCAGTTTGGGGGGTTTATCCAGATCTTGGTTTATGGGTAAACATGTAAGAATCTCATCTTAGAGTAAGGACTAGGTCACCTCTTTGTTGTCTGTCATTTGACATCTCCCCTTCTCTGTGCTTGATGCCACAGGTTTTAAAATGCAGGATAAAAATTCCTGGTCAACTCCATTATTCTTTAGAATTTATCACCATGTGACTTCTCCACATGTATGTTATTAAATTGATTGCTTTTGTTTTGCTAACCCATCTGATACTTTTTTGGTTGCTCTTCCAGCCCTAGAAGAAACCTGCACCTAAACAATGGCAAGCATTGCAAAGGACAACAGCAGAACAAAATCTGGATAATTCTTATTTTTATTTTAGGGGGAAATATTAGCAAATACTGGGGAGAATTTATGTAAGCAACATGAAATAAGCATTGGGGGTTAGGGAAATGGCAAAGTACTTCTATTAATTTGAAATGAAGGTTTACTGATAATGAAAATGCTTAGGCTTGATGAAATTAGATTTCTGTTCCCATTTTCAGACTCCTACTGGTTTAACTACTGAAGGAAGCATAGGGCGTGACGCACGTCTGACTCTTCAGCTTTTATTTAATTACTAGTTCAGAGACTGATTAAACAATCCTATTAAAAAATTGGTTTTACAATTCTTTATATCATAATATAACTATTCATTTTATCCTAGGCATATTTGGTCTTTAGATTCAGGCATTTCCTGGGATTCCCAAATCCATAGGAAATATTCCAAACAATGTACTAATTTGAATCCAAATGGAGGCAGTTCAAGGTGATTGGCTGAATTGGTTAGAATGGCTTAGTTCATTAATAACCAAATTGGAACCCAGACTCTGGGTTCAGTCCCCTTAATGTGCTGCTGTGGGTCTTACTTCATCCTTAAAACAAAGATTTTTATCCATCTGATGGTGAAGATCTAGTCCAGCTCTGTAATTTCATTCTAGTAAGCTGCTACAGGTAAGAAAACTTGAATTTTGTTTTTTTTCTCGATATAGATTGATTGCATATAAATCATCCACAGATAATTTTACAAACAAGTTTGTACCAATATATTATTGGATTATATGATGTGATTCCCTCTACAACTCTGTTGTATAAAACTAGCCATGTAGATAAACCCTTTGACCTTAATCATGCTAATAACTGAGGTATAATTGGTTCGTGAAATCATCATAAGGAAGTACCAACTTCCTTGTACAACAGAAATAGAGAAATGAGGTTTTTTTTGAGGAGGTAGTTGCTACATTTACCATAACCATTGAATTTCTTCAATACTGTTTAATTTCTTTTTCTTCCCACTGTAGTTGGTGTTATTCAAGAATCTATTCACACTGCTTGAAACTGAAGGATATTGGAAGACTAATGGTTGGAGAAATTTAAGTTTGAAATTTAGCATCACTGCCCTGAACAAGAGAGAATTGCTTAGCATAAACTACACGTACAGGTAAGGCTGATCACTTAATTCACTTTTATTTTTGAAAGTTAATTCTAAAAACCCTAATAGGACTTAACATGTTTGACTTTTATGAACTGATCATGAAGAAAGTTATCAGCATGTTAATTAAGTAGATGATTGCTAATAATTAAAGATACAATGTTTGTATGATTTGAGAACAGGCATTCTGTTAAGGGGAATACAGACTTGTAGATGGTCTAGTTAAAAACAAAAGGAATACTCCCTATTAATATAGAAGCATCATTACCTTTACAATATTTTAGCATGTTATGCTTTATCTACAAAGAGCAGGGGTTAATGCTTTCTTTAATATTATAAAAGAAAGCTCTATTCCTTAATGTAAGATAAAAATCTACTTGGAGCAGATAAACTTTTCTTAAAATATGGACTTGTTTTATTCTCTATTTGACTGATTTTTATAAATAGATCAAATTACAGATTAAGTTTTATATATTTATAACTGGATATAACTTAACTGCAAACGGATTTCAATTTGCCAGCGTGCACTGAATTTAGATACAAACTCACTCTGAAGCACACGGGTTATTTTCTAAATGAAAACTGTAAATAAATATATAAAATGATAGTACACTGGTAGATATTAATGATATCAGTATTAGAACGTAGACACTCTGTACAGACTTCAAGCTTTCAAGTGTTGCGGGGGGAATTGTTTGGTTTAACAAATTTCAAAATTATACTGCATTGGGGGAAAAATCCCTATTTTTGTACTCCAAGATGCAAAAATATAAGCGTGATTCTGAAGAGAGGTAGAGAATAAAGTTATCCTGAGGGACTGGGGATATACAAAAATCTCAGAAGACATGCAAGGCAAAACTTTTGAGTTTACCAAAGAGAGAATGTGATTAAAAAATGAATGAGATCCCAGCTCCAGGTTAGGAATAAAGCTGAGAATGTGGTCCCAAGACAAATATGGCGAAAAACACATTCTGAACAGAACTCGTGATTCTTATTTGACCAAAATCTAATAACTTTGTTATTCCCACTTGAAAGAAATAAGTAAATGAGAAAAATACAAACGAAAAGGAGCTTGTATGTGACTGTTAGCACTTCATGTGTATCATCTGAAGCACGAGGGTTTTAAAAATAAGACAGAAAAAAGCAAAAACCACACATGCATTTATGCTGTGATTAAAATATCTTCTAAAAAAATCATATTCTCTGAAAAACCAAGATACTAAATACACATGAAGCCACATGAGGGCGCTCTAACCAACAATAGCAAGTACAAACGTGACAATTTTAAATTAAACTTTTAACCCAAGGTATTACAGTTTAGCATTAGATATTTTTAACGAGAAATTACACTGATGCCCTTCAGTAAAGATCCTGGGATTTTGGTATCTATTCTTGGTCCTACATTTCCTTCTGCTCAACTCAGGATCTTTCTTGAGTATTTGTTTATGTGGCGTTAGAGATTCTTTTAATAGTATTGGATTGTAGAGAAGTACTTTACCCTAGTAATGAAAAGACACCATTTTTGAAAAGGAATTACATATAATTAAAGGGTGTTAATTAAAAATCACTTTTCTCTTTATTAATGTGGCCACAAAATACTTCTGCAACACTTTTACCAGTATGTATTGCTTGCATAGCCCTTAAAATGTTTTAGATTTTGTAGGCAAAAGTTAATCACCATTTACAAATTGTTTTATAATCAAATATAACTATAAATTCCTCTAGTACAAAATAACTCTTACTTATTTTTATCAAATTTGGTTTTTTAGACACAGGAACTATCCATCACAATAATCTACCTACTGCTTTTACTTCAACTGGACAATCCTGATTAGAAAAGGTGAGAAGGCACCTATACTTTCCTTTTGCCTCTAGTACTTTAAAAAAGAAAGAAATTTAAGTTTAAATAACATTTATGATTTTAACATTAAATATCTGTAATTCTGTTCTAGATCTTGGGACAAAATTCAAGAAACTCTGAGATAAATGAATAACAGCTCAACATGTATTCTTCAACCATCCCAGATCTCTTCTACAGCTTTACCAATCATTTATACTTTACTTTGTATCATTGGTCTCTTTGGCAATTCACTCTCTCAATGGGTATTTTTAACAAAAATAGGTAAGAAAACATCAACACACATCTACCTAACACATCTTGTGACTGCAAACCTAATTGTGTGCAGTGCTATGCCTTTCATGGGTTTCTATTTCTGGAAAGGTTTTCATTGGAATTATAGCAATACAGCATGCAAGGTAGTCAATTTTCTGGGAACTCTGTCCATGCATGTAAGTATGTTTGTCAGTCTCTTTATTTTAAGTTGGATTGCCATTAGCCGCTATGCTACTTTAATGAAAAAGGAGTGTGTCCTAGACATCACTTCGTGCTATGAGAAAATATTTTATGGCCATTTGCTGAAAAGATTTCGCCAGCCCAATTTTGCTAGAAAAGTATGCGTTTACATATGGGGAGTTGTGATAGGCTTAATTATGCCAGTTATCATATACTACTCAGTTGTAGAGGTTAAAGGAGATAATGACAAGTGCTATAACCAGGAGCTGGAAGTAGGACACACGCTCTCTCAGATTGCAGGCCTCATTGGAACCACATTTATCGGATTTTCATTTTTAGTAGTATTAACATCATACTACTCTTTTGTTAGCCATCTGAGAAAAATAAGAACTTGTACATCCATTTTGGAAAAAGATTTGACTTACCATTCTGTGAAGAGGCACCTTTTGGTCATCCAGATTCTACTAATAGTTTGCTTTCTTCCATACAGCATTTTTAAACCCATTTTTTATTCTCTACATCACTCAAATGACTGTGAGCAATTGAATTATTTAGTAGAAATAAAAAACATCCTCACCTGTCTTGCATCAGCTAGAAGTAGCACAGATCCCATTATATTTCTTCTTTTAGATAAAACATTCAAGAAGACACTACATAATCTTATAAAATGTGATTCATCACATGTACAATCCAATGATTGACTTCAGAATGAAAAACACCAGCAGAGAAATGTTCATAGGATTCTGTTAGACACTAAACTACATGATTAATAGGTCATAGCTTGGTTGATTAAAAGAGGCACCCAAAAAATCCCTCTTTGGTTTATGTATTCATAAAACTCACTTTACGGTTCTATTTATATTGAAAGTTGACATGGCTGAGACTTTGAGAGACAAAAGTGGGGCATATTCAAAGAGGATCCCACTGCATATGAAACAACATACGTTTTCTGCTTAAGCCCAATTGGATGCTTCTATTTAGAACACAGTATATCACAATGGGGATAAAGAAGCAAATGGTTTCTCACTTTCTAGTAGTATTAGAATCTGTAGTTAGAATACACGGGTCTACCTATGGTTAATGTTTGTCGGTAACTTTAAAAATGAGTACAGGGAAAAGAAAAAATGAGTACAGGGAAAAGAGTAATGTCCTCATTTAAGTCCTATCTAAATGCATGAAAAACACATTGTAAAAGTCCAAGGTTTTTTTTTTTAAATCAATGCATTAATTTGGTATTATTTGGCTCACTACTGGGAGAGGCAATATTCACTGATTCCAGTACTAAGCAGGTATTTATAAGTGTGCTTGAATATTTGGATTATGCTTTGTCAAGATAAAAGGCTTGTACATTGTCATATGTCGATCTTCATCACATTCTGTATGTTTTCCTCTGTATTAAATGTAAAGAATGTTAATTGTGACAAGTAGTACCTGGCGTGTAAATATGTTCTGATTTTTGTGAAATAAGTGATAAGATGGTATAATATCACACTTAAGAGACTGGTCCGTGGAATTAAAGAGTCCTTGGCTTCAATCCCACTCTACCAGTTCATTTAGCTGGAGAATTTTCTGCAAATTATTTACCATCTTTAAGTGTTAATTTCATGATTCATAGAGTGGAAAAATACTATGTAACTCATAGGTACTGGTATTATACTCGATGATAACTAAGTAGCTATCATTTACTAAGAGGTTGCTAAATGCCATGCACTCTGCTTATATGCTTTCTATGTTTGATTGTAAACACCACCATAAAGTATGCCAAATTTACTGATAAAAAAAGTGAAATGCATAATGTCACCTAAATTTTCCTCAATACGTAAGTTAATGTTGAAAGAATAAGGATTTCTCAATGGTCATTTTTTCCATTTCTCAATAAGAGGACTGATGATGACTGTAGTCTGTATTCTACAAATCACAATTAAAAAATGTTTTAAAATGTGGTGTGTTTTATCTTCCCAAAGAGATCATAAGCACCTTTGGAGCTATGGTCTATTTCCTTTCTCTACTCCCATGGTACTTGGCATTCTCTACTCATGTAAGAACAAAACAAAAACAGCTGAATAGAATCAATTAACTATCCTACTACTGCATTAGAGACTGCTTAAAGACTTATTTTCTAAATGGTATTTTTTTCAGTGCTCAAAAAGAAGTTTAAAGTAAATTCACATAGCACTTCCAAGCCTTTAATTTCATAGCATGTTTGGTTCTTGAATTGAAAGGTAGAAGACAATTCACTGTACAGATTCCCCCAAGAGCCATATGTTCAAAATCACTAGGGATTTCTGTAATGTGTAATTTTCATTAAAAAAAAAGAATAGAAAACAGTTTCTTTTCCCTCCACTTCAATGCTTAACTGAGAGAGGGGAATCTTCAGAGAGATCTGAAAAAACACATGCTGGCCTCAAATATACACTGTATATATCCCTTTCTAGCCACAATCTGATTTCTGGCTTATTAATTTGCAGAGACAAAGACAGACCTGGGAACTCCCAGTAATTCTGAGTGCTGGCTGTAAACAGATGTCCAATCTAGTAGTTTCACAGGCATGAGAATCACAGAATAACTCAACTTTGAACAGGAATTCCTGAGACATCCGGCTTCCTCCAGTTACAGCAACAGTTTTATTCCTATACAAGCTTTAAAGCCAAAACTCAAAGAACTAAAAGGAAAACTGGGAAGATGCTCAATAGTTTCATTAACATGAGTTATACTGATAAAATCTCATAACACAACTTACAAATTGAAGAAAACCTAACTTCTAGAAATATTTTTTAACACCATTACTTTAAATAATACTAAATGGAGTTCCCTATGTTTAAAATGAGAAGAGACACAATTTCTCTTTAACTTGCTCACTGTGACAAGATAACTCCTTTAATTCCCTGTACTCAACTATATATGAGCTTATCGCTATATTCATCTTTATACCATAGGTGCTTTCCTGGATAGGTGATTGTAAATCATGTTGAATTGTTCGTGTAATTGAAGAATTAATGTGTGGTAAATATTTTATGTGAAATAATTCCTAAGTTTATCCCAATTTTGAAGAGTAAGTTTCAAAAAAAATGTTTTCAGGCTCTCTGAGTTATAGTCAAACATAATTTCACAAACCCTGAATTCTGACTTAAATGTCAACAAGACTACATCTTAACTATAGAAAACAGGCATGCTAAATGTTTGATTTCCCCCTTATCCTTTTCATGTGCATACTCTTAAGGCAGCTTTCAAACTGCTAATTATGAACACACAAATCATCCAAAACTGGATAAGCAAAATTAAAGATGAATTCCTTAACTTGGGAGTTTCTGCTCCATGGGTAGAAGAGAAAGATGCTAATCTTGTTCTGTTTTGGTAAGGACTCCCACAGACTATTCCTGCCCTTGCAGTCTGCAGGGTGGGAGTAAGAATGAACAAATATGGGAAGACAAGCAAATTCAAGTGTTTCAATTATGTAAGGAGATCTTCCTCTGTTTCCAAACTCATTGAATTGCTATGAGTGGGAGGAGTTATTCTTTTAAAATCATGGAGTTGATTGGGGGGGGGAGGAAGGAGTGAGAGGAAAAAAGCATAAGATAAATTTATGATGATTTGATAATCATGAGATTAATAATGATTAAAACCACACATTCAGGCTGAACATATATATGTTCAACAAACTTACTTGAAAGTAATACAGAAGATTAACCAGTGTGCTTTTTATAATAAAGAATGAGTTTTCATTTTAATGAGAATTTAACTTTCTTTATACAACATGAGGGACTTTTTTGGGGAGATGTGGTAAGAGATGTAAAGGAAATGTCAGCAACCAGATCAATAGAGGAAGAAATACTGCAAAATCCACAGTGCCTTGGCAACTAGTGTGATGTGATGAACATCGTTTATAAAAAAGCCTGGCCCTAAGTAGGTGAAAGGAGAACTGAGACCAGAAGACGAGAGAGCAGCCAAGTGTGTTAATGGGTGAGCAAGGAAAGCCATTTAAAGGAAGCACACTGAGAAATGCTTGGGTGGAACTCTGGGTTGAGTGTCTGTATGATTGGGGTTTTGTACAATTCTGAGAACTAAAAACAGTCCCCAAACCTCCCAGGCACAGGGCCCACTCAGAAGATGAAGTGATTGTACATAGAGCAGTTTGCATTTAGAGAACTGCCTAGCTTCAACTTCAGTTATTAAACTTGTATATCAGTCGGTCAGAGTCACAAGGTCTGAGGATTGCTTGGTCTCCGTGCCCAGGCGATTGTGAGACTGTCTGCAGGAATTAAGAGAGACAAGAAAATTCTACCCACTCTCACTGCTTAACAGAGCAAATGAAGGCAGGCAAGGAGCCAGGAGTTGCATTCACCTTGACAACTGCACTATTTCTTTCTAAAATACTTTTAATTTAGGGGTGAGCAAAAGGAAAGAGTAAAACAGGGGCCTCCCTGGTGGTGCAGGGGTTAAAGTCTCAGTGCTATCAAGCTATCACCAGCCACTGTGGCCTGAGATCCCCAGCCAGGGAGCTAACCCACAAGGCACAGCAGTCCTCTTTTGTCTTGCCTGCTGCTAACCTCAGCAGTGTATTTCAGTAGATCTGCCTGTTCTGCTCCCAGTTCTGTCTCTGGTGAATCCTCGCACCCAACTCCCATACCCCTGGCCTACACCCCAGTTCTTGTATGCATAAAGAAATGAAAATAAATCTTTTTTAAAAAGGTAAAACACAGGAACATAATCGAAGTTTTCACAAGAAAATGAGGAATAAAAGGGAAGATGACAGGAAAAAAAAAAAAAGAAATTTGCGTGCAGGCCTTAAATGCCAGTAGGGAGACAAAGCACGAGCAATTTAACATACTGTGACAGTGAGTCTTAATCAGGGGTGATTCTCACTCCCCACAGGACATTTTGCAATGTTGGAGTCATTTATGTTTGTCACAACTGGGAGGAAATTCTAGTGGCATCTCCTGGGTAGAGGCTAGGATGCTCAGTACCCTATAATACACAGGACAGCCTCCCACAACAAAATGCCCAGTCCCAAATGCCCCTAGTGTGGCTTTTGGGAGACTCTGTACTGTGATGATCACTTCTGAATTTCCAAAGGATTATGCAATTAGAATTTATCTATCTATCTATTTATTTATTTTTAAAGATTTATTTATTTATTTATACGAGCACTGGGTATAGTCAGAAGCGCGGGAGGGTGAGAGAATTCACCAGAGCCAGAGTGGGGAGCAGAACAGGCAGACTGATGAAGTACACTGCTGAGGGGAGCAGCGGGCGGCAGGAGAGTTCTGCGTGCCATGTGGGACCCTCCTCCGGCGGCCGGGGAGCAGCCGGGGATAGAACCGGCGTCGCAGAGGCCGCCGGCAGCTTCGCAACCCAGCGCTCAACGTCTGCGCCACCGGGGAGGCCCAGTTTTTATTTATTTTTAAAAAATATTTATATATTTATTCATAGACAAACTGGGGTGTAGGTCAGAGGTGTGGGGGGGTGGTGAGAGGATTCACCAGAGACAGAGTGGGGAGCGTAACAGGCAGATCTACTGAAATACGCTGCTGAGGGGAGCAGCAGGTGGGACAGGAGAGGTTTACTGTGCCATACGTGGGTTCGCTCCCTGGCTGGGGATTGAACCCAGGCGGCAGCAGCAGCAGCAGTGACAGCTTGATAGTGCTGAGACTTAACCCCAAGGCCACCAGGGAGGCCCAGCAATTACTTTTTTTTTTTTTAGATTTATTTATTTATTTATACAAGCGCTAGGTACAGTCAGAAGCGCAGGAGGGTGAGCGAATTCACCAGAGCCTGAGCAGGGAACAGAACAGGCAGACTGACGAAGTACACTGTTGAGGGGAGCAGCGAGCGGCAGGAGAGGTCTGCGCGCCATGTGGGACCCTCGCCGGCGGCTGGGGATCAAACTGGTGCTGCAGAGGGTGCGGGCAGCTTCGCAACCCAGCGCTCAACTGCTGCGCCACCGCGAAGGCCCCCAGCAATTACTTTTTAATGCAAATTCATATGAAAATGCTTTTCCAACGCAAACAGTTTCCACTACAGGTCATGTGGGATCATATACTCAATTCTACTTTGATACAACCAGACAATCATTTTTAGACCTAATTATGATGATTTCCACAAGAAATGCCTACCAAGTAAAGAAAAAAGTATTATTAATCAATATAATACTAGGACTTTTAGGAAACCTAGTGTTTTTGGATTATTTGCCAAAATGGGGGAGGGGGACGGTGGGTGAGGGAAGGAAGGAGGGAATATGAGAATATTTTTGGCTAGATAAAACAGATGATTTTTGGCTAGATAAAACAGATGATTAAATAATCGAAACTCTTCTAAAAGGCATGAAACATTGCAGTGTTCTATTTTCTTTATTAAGTATAAGGGAAGAAAAGTTTGGCAAAAAATTTAACTACAGAAACTAAAATGTACATACAAATGAAATCTATGTGCAGAGAAGTCATTGAATATATAATATGTAAATGTGAAGAAGAGCTAATAGATTGCTTTATTAAAAGTATGAACACATCATGTGATACTTTAAATTATTAGCCAAGTGAAATGTATTGTTAAAAAAGTCTTAGAGGGTCTCCCTGGTGGTGCTAGGGGTTAAGACGCAACCTATGAAGCTGTCTGCAGCCACTGCAGCACAAGTTCAATCCCTGGCCAGCCAGGGAACTACCCACATGGCGCAGCAGACCTCTCCTGACTCACCTGCTGCTCCCCGCAGCAGTGTATTTCAGTCGATCTGCCTGTTCTGTTCCCCACTCTGTCTCTGGTGAATCCTCTCACCACCCCCCAACACCTCCGGCCTGTACCTCAGTTCTTGTATGCATAAATAAATAAATCTTAAAAAAAAAAAAAGTCTTAGAGTGACTACTACGTTGGCAACCCCTATAACAAGATGCTGAATACTATTACTTTATGTTACCTAAGTTACTGAAGGATGTTAGCAAATCC